ACCAGTCACAGGGGAACCAGACTTGGCCAAGATAACAAGCTACAGACACGATCACCAGTCACAGGGAACCAGACTGGGCCAAGATAACAGGCTACAGACACGATCACCAGTCACAGGGAACCAGACTGGGCCAAGATAACAGGCTACAGACACGACCACCAGTCACAGGGAACCAAACTAGGCCAAGATAACAGGCTACAGACACGGCCACCAGTCACAGGGAACCAAACTAGGCCAAGATAACAGGTAATATAGATAGCGTGATGACAGGCCCAACATGGTCTCAAATTAATGCCGTTCACACACGAGGGAGTTTATAGAGTTGCTCTGGACTCCTTTAAGCATTTCAATGCTTATTTTTTACCATGAGCTTTTAAAAGTACAGCAGCATTGTTAGTTTCAAAGTTCTCCCTGTGATTACTTATTTGTCTATATTTAATTGGGATCACTGGTGTTTTGCCAATCCTTGACGCAGGTGTTGATCGGCATCTGTCCCGGATACAGTGTTATCTGTCTCGGATACAGTGTTATCTGTCCCGGATACAGTGTTATCTGTCCCGGATACAGTGTTATCTGTCTCGGATACAGTGTTATCTGTCTCGGATACAGTGTTATCTGTCCCGGATACAGTGTTATCTGTCTCGGATACAGTGTTATCTGTCTCGGATACAGTGTTATCTGTCCCGGATACAGTGTTATCTGTCTCGGATACAGTGTTATCTGTCTCGGATACAGTGTTATCTGTCCCGGATACAGTGTTATCTGTCTCGGATACAGTGTTATCTGTCTCGGATACAGTGTTATCTGTCTCGGATACAGTGTTATCTGTCTCGGATACAGTGTTATCTGTCTCGGATACAGTGTTATCTGTCTCGGATACAGTGTTATCTGTCTCGGATACAGTGTCACAGTGTACAGTGTCAAAAAAGCACTTTTTTAGCAGTTCTCTGGTGCTTGGTGGGGGGGTATTACCATATACATTCTCTTCAGGTGCTCCCAATTCGGATAGTTTGTTCGCAAAGTTCGTTTCCATAGATGTCTACATGACTAGACGGGGCACAGTTACATACACCTTCCTTCCATGTAGATGAAATGAAGAAGTGTTTACGTTTGCACTGCCCGTAGGTTAAGGATTCCTTAGGGGTTTGGTGACCTGTTTTCAAGACATTGTTGGTCATTACGTTATTAGGACGTTATCATTAGACCTTGTTATTATTCTATTATATATATATATATATATATATATATATATATATATAGAGAGAGAGAGAGATGTGTGTGTGTGTGTGTGTGTACTCACCTAGTTGTACTCACCTAGTTGTACTCACCTAGTTGTGTTTGCGGGGGTTGAGCTCTGGCTCTTTGGTACCGCCTCTCAACCGTCAATCAACAGGTGTACAGATTCCTGAGCCTATCGGGCTCTGTCATATCTACACTTGAAACTGTGTATGGAGTCAGCCTCCACCACATCACCCCCTAATGCATTCCATTTGTCAACCACTCTGACACTAAAAAAGTTCTTTCTAATATCTCTGTGGCTCATTTGGGAACTCAGTTTCCACCTGTGTCCCCTTGTGCGTGTTCCCCTTGTGTTAAATAGACTGTCTTTATCTACCCTATCAATCCCCTTCAAAATCTTGAATGTGGTGATCATGTCCCCCCTAACTCTTCTGTCTTCCAGCGAAGTGAGGTTTAATTCCCGTAGTCTCTCCTCGTAGCTCATACCTCTCAGCTCGGGTACTAGTCTGGTGGCAAACCTTTGAACCTTTTCCAGTTTAGTCTTATCCTTGACTAGATATGGACTCCATGCTGGGGCTGCATACTCCAGGATTGGCCTGACATATGTGGTATACAAAGTTCTGAATGATTCTTTACACAAGTTTCTGAATGCCGTTCGTATGTTGGCCAGCCTGGCATATGCCGCTGATGTTATCCGCTTGATATGTGCTGCAGGAGACAGGTCTGGCGTGATATCAACCCCTAAGTCTTTTTCCTTCTCTGACTCCTGAAGAATTTCCTCTCCCAGATGATACCTTGTATCTGGCCTCCTGCTCCCTACACCTATCTTCATTACATTACATTTGGTTGGGTTAAACTCTAACAACCATTTGTTCGACCATTCCTTCAGCTTGTCTAGGTCTTCTTGAAGCCTCAAACAGTCCTCTTCTGTTTTAATCCTTCTCATAATTTTAGCATCGTCCGCAAACATTGAGAGAAATGAATCGATACCCTCCGGGAGATCATTTACATATATCAGAAACAAGATAGGACCGAGTACAGAGCCCTGTGGGACTCCACTGGTGACTTCACGCCAATCGGAGGTCTCACCCCTCACCGTAACTCTCTGCTTCCTATTGCTTAGATACTCCCTTATCCACTGGAGCACCTTACCAGCTACACCTGCCTGTCTCTCCAGCTTATGTACCAGCCTCTTATGCGGTACTGTGTCAAAGGCTTTCCGACAATCCAAGAAATGTGTGTGTGTGTGTGTGTGTGTGTGTGTGTGTGTGTGTGTGTGTGTGTGTGTGTGTGTGTGTGTGTGTGAGTGAGTGTGTGTACATAGCAAGTGTACACTATTTATTCACATATGCAACATTATGCAACCTACAGGTAGCAACAAACATGTCAGTCACAGGTCGCCAACCCTGACGACTTTCGACACGTGGCGGAATAAATCATGGGAGGCTTCATTGACTGAAACGAGTACTTCTCTTTCCTGACCTTCAAATGCCACCACCACCCTCATCAATCAGAGTTGTTTTCATGAAGAGGAGGAGGAGGAGGACACGCCCCCAGTATGACACCACAGCCAGCCTGATCCACACCATCAGTTCTGTGATTTATGCAATAATTCAGCCAATACCTGTCTAATTCCTGAGCAATACCTTCCTAATACCTGCCTAATACCTGGAGAATCCCTGCCTAATACCTGAGCAATACCTGCCTAATACATGAGCAATACCTGAGAAATACTTGCCTAATACATGAGCAATACTTGCTCAACACCTGAGCATCAAACAGTAGTTTACTGACCCAAATAATTGAGACAGGATATATCAATCTACTAAATATTTTACCCAGTGCCCTCAAGTGACTCCTGATATTGGTATTAATAATTCTTAGACAATTCCAGATGCTTTATTAATGAACCACTAGATGAGTCATATTTAGAGTTTACAATCGCCAGTTAAATTCCAATCCTAAGAATAGCTGACTGTGGGGAAAAAAATGCCTATATATTGAGATCATTGGGGGGGGGGGGGGGGGGGTTGACAGTCTCCAAGTGGGCATGTGGAGCCACAGACGACATTCCATACTTCAACTCCATACTCCATAGAACTCCATACTCTTTCAAGGGGGTTTTGTTTGACGACACGAGGGGTTTTCAGTAGGTAACTGGCAGTCTTCTCGCTCTTATAGCACTAGTTCAATGGTATTGGTAGGGGTCACGTTTCTCTCAACAACGTCCTTCAGCACTCTCTTCCGTTTAGTGGTCCGTGGAAAAGTTTATTATATATATATATATATATATATATATATATATATATATATATATATATATATATATATATATATATATATATATATATATATATAATCACAAAAAACACGTAATTCGGCTATGCGTAAGTATCCACTAGGGCAAAGGAATACAGGATATTCCTGCATTCCTTCATAATAATGTGTTGTAAAACGAAAACATTCGGAAATTTCACTTCATTTTCCTAGTAAAAATGAAAACGAAATGTTTGGGGTTAACTTCACCCAAGTTTTTAAGATGACACAGGGGGGTACGGGGTTGTCATAGGCCGCTCTGCGTTGGCACTAAAGCCACTTTACAATTGAGGCTCAAGATCTCCTTTATAGTGAATTGATTTAATGAAAAGGAATTCTGATCTATGGCCACCGAGTGTTACCGGGTCGTTGGGGGGAAATAGCCTCGGTTACTAATGACTTTTGAATAGTTTGGTGGTCATGTGGTCAGTAGTTTGGTGGTCATGGTATATATACCGAATGATATCATCTCTTTTTAAAGTGCGCGACAATGCCCACGAAAACAAGGGGTCCATATAAGATCACACCATTTGTACACACAACCAGACCACCACCAGAGATATCCAGACAGAACAACGCCGAAATATATCGGCAGATAACCAGCTCATACCCAGGTACATCATATCTATCAACACGGCCGAAAGAGTTATCAGTGTACAACGCAGCGTACACTCTGTTCAATGCGTTGAACAGAAGTTCCTGCAGTCAAGTTTTATTGGTTGGGGGGCAGGATCTGTTGCGTTGGAGTCTTCATGTGTCATACATGTTTCCCCAGGTCCTTTTGATCATCATTCATCAAGAGTAAAGTGAACCCGATGAACGTGTAAGATGATCTGGGGTCACAATTGATGGCATTATTTGTGACAATGGGTTTCTCAGCGCTGTTTCTGTTGGGACACCCCACAAGCACTGCGGGCTCACCATAGCCCGTGCTACTTGGAACTTTATGTTCCAGGTAGCGAATCTTTAACAACAACAACAACAACTCATTCCCAAGAGTCCTTGGCAGTGTTCAGGTATCTTTTTGTTGAGAACACAAGTTTATTTCTAATTTGGTGTTTACTAAATAAGTGTGTGTAAGCATCATGTCTTTAACGATCAATAAATCTTAGAAAAACATTAATTTGTGAAGGATTTTTTTTTTTAAACAAACATCAAATACGGTAATTTTTCTTTATCGGAGAACAGAATTAAACATAAATATTTTATGAGATCGCAGAATGCTCTCCAATTTTCGAGAGAGGTCGATAAATTAAATGTTGTAATATAAGTATACAGAACACCACAGACGCCTAAGTGGCCCACGAGACGTCTAGTGTCCCACGAGACGTCTAGTGTCCCACGAGACGTCTAGTGTCCCACGAGACGTCTAGTGTCCCACGAGACGTCTAGTGTCCCACGAGACGTCTAGTGTCCCACGAGACGTCTAGTGGCCCACGAGACGTCTAGTGGTAGCCACCGTAGCCGGGTCCAGGGAGGTGGTAGCGGGCGACGCCCTCGTAGGAGACCTCCGGGTGGTAGCCGTGCTCGTCCGCGTAGTACTTGACCGTCTGGATGCGACCGTCGGGAAGATTGACGAAGTACTTCCCTTCTGTCTTGTAGCCGTCCCGGGACTCACTGTGACCGAAGTTGGTGCCGGAGAAGTCGTCTTGGACACCGTAAGCGAAGTTATAGTGAGCTGGAGCCTGCAACGATTGCTAACCTTATTGACAAATGCCTTTTTTTTATGTATTTTTAAACTCATGTAACACACACAGTACAGCGACTTTGAACTGTTATCGCTCCCATATGTAACCTCCTGCTTACAGGAGTCTGGAATAGAGTCCGGACAGCAAACAATTAGCGAACATTTATATAATGGTACATGTGTAGTTACTAGCCACGAATGTACACAAGTCCTGATAAAATATTTCAGTACAATTTAGCTGTTCAATAGGACCATAACCTTAAAGTCACACATAAAATTTTGTGTCTAAAATTCCCCCTTTTTCTCTTCACACATCACTGTATGTGAATACAGTCATATGTATATGTATAATATGTGTATATAACCGGTGATATATCATCCGGTAACCTTCAATCCATCAATGTAAAAGCTGTCACTTTCAGACAGTTGACGATGTCTCTAAGCCCCAAGAAAATAACATTAAAGATAAACTATTATGCCTCATTACAAGAGGCCCTTCAGGTCATTAAGGCATTACCATGTGACAGGGAACCACTCACGTTGTGATAGACGTCATGGTAGACTGGGCCGCCGTGGATAACACCGCCATGGTGGATTTCACCGTGATGGACTCCACCGTGGTGGATGCCGCCGCCAGGAATCCCACCATATGCGCCGCCATGTTGGATGCCAGCGTGAAAGATGCCACCGTGGAGGCCCAGAGAGGTGCCACCGAGGCCAGTAGTGAGGAGGGTCAGTAGGAAGGTCAGCTGGTGAGGAGAGCACAGGTACGCTGAGTGATTAATTGATTGATTGATGAAGATTAATCCCTGCACTGCACACCTGGTTTCGGCAAAAACTTCTTGGGGCAATTGTCAAGGACATATTCTTGTTGTTTTTATAAATATTCAGGTAAATTTAATGTCAAAATGTTTCCAAACTCAACTATTTTCATTTAAAAACACAGAGTAATGAAAACATTAAAAAACATTAAAATATAGCCTATTTACAAAAAATAGCACTACTCTCAGAGCGCCTAAAGGCGCTTTGCGCAGTGCAGGGGTTAAGCAAGTTCAAGTATGTTTATTGAGACAAGAAAATACATCTCAAAGAGGCAGAGTAGCTTAGGCTATTTCTACCCCGCCACGAGGTGACGTAGTGTGGTCCAGCAGAGACAGCAGGTAGCGGTGGCCTTACCTTGGCAGCAATCATGGCGGTGAGGGGTGGCGGGAGTGATGCTGTGAGGTTCTCATCTCCGGCTTATATACCATCATCTCTGCTGCTCATCTGGCTCCTCCCACCTCATCTCCCGCCTCTCCAGCATCTGCAAGTCCTACATCTCTTGCATCTTCAGCATCTTTGCCTCCCGTATCTTCTACATTTCACCCATCTCCCGTTTCTCCAACATCTGTATCTTTCATATGTGCAAAATTTCCAGCATTTCCTGCATGTATCACATATCTCTTTTCTCCTTCATCTCCCACACTCACCAGCATCTACTCCATCTCCCACGTATCTTGCAATCCCATCGGAAGGACAGAGCAAAAATACAAACAATACAGCGGGCAAAAAATACAGAATACAGTACTCAAAATCGCACGAAGACGATCTAGACAGTTAATGATGGTAGTTACCATCATTACCTGTCTAGTTCGACAGGTAATGTTGGCATGTTCAACAATGAATAGTGTTGAACAACCCGTATTTAATTGTTAATGTGCTGAAACGCGATAAACTCCGGAACTCTCGTTTCATTTTTCTAGTGGATACTTATGCATAACCGAATCACGTGTTTTTCTGGGATTATTCTGCATATGTATGTATAAATAAATAAATAAATAAATACATATATATTTTAACATAGAAGGGGTACCACCTTTGGTACACGTGTAGGAACCCATAGCCTTGGAGAAGAAAATAAAGAGTACTCAGAGAAGACCTTGTGGATCCTCACTGAACACTTTGATATTTTCTTCTCCTACCCTATTCTTTTGGTATGTATGTATATATATCTAACTTTATTTGAAAATTTCATTACAGGAAATACATATTATATATATATATATATATATATATATATATATATATATATATATATATATATATATATATGTATTTCCTGTATGAAATTTTCAAATAAAGTTAGATATATATACATATATATATATATATATGACTGTCGCTGTTATGCAAGATGTCTTTGGGAGAGTGACTTGAACGTGTGAGTTAAAACATACCTTAACGGTAGGTGACACCATCTTACATACTTCCTCATGATCATTGGTGCCGCCCCCCCCCCCTCTCACCCTCACTCACCTTCACGTGAGCCTCATACTCTCCTGGCCCACTTATGTACATCACCTTCATCTCTCACTATCTTCATGATCACTATCTTCATAACAGATCTCGCAGTTTATCTTTATCATCTCAGAGTTAGAAATGCATTAAGTAACCTCTGAAAAGAGAGAGAGAGAGAGAATTTCTCTCTGACCATAGATGGAGGCCAGACGCTGGTGGCTAGCCTCACTCAAATTTGCAAGAGGGAATGATCTGGGGTATGGGACTGACATAAGCTGGTCGAGGTAGGCATAAGTTAAATGAATTCAGAAATATTAGTAATTATCCACAACCCCCGAACCATTTTCATGGAGTCAGGCGAGAATTAACATGTAGTTATCGTGGAGTTGTTACTGAAAATAAACAAGAGAATGGATAAAGGAAGGGCTAAGAAAAAGTAAAGCATCTAAGACACAAATACACTTGTCTCAGTGTTTCTTGAGGAGGTAAAGGTGGTGGGAGGGTGAAGAGATGATTAGAGAGATTGTTATGTAGAAAGATAACTAGATAAAGAAATAGAGATGTGGAGAGATAGGAAGTACATATAGAGACAGGCAGAAATAAAGATAGGTAGAGATAGAGAGGGGGAGACAGACCCGGGTAGCGCCGGGTACGCCTATATGTGTATATATATATATATATATATATATATATATATATATATATATATATATATATATATATATATATATATATATATATATATATATATATATGTCGTACCTAGTAGCCAGAATGCACTTCTCAGCCTACTATGCAAGGCCCGATTTGCCTAATAAGACAAGTTTTCCTGCATTAATATATTTTCTCTATTTTTTTTCTTATGAAATGATAAAGCTACCCATTTCATTATGTATGAGGTGAATTTTTTTTTATTGGAGTTAAAATTAACGTAGATATATGACCGAACCTAACCAACCCTACCTAACCTAACCTAACCTATCTTTATAAGTTAGGTTAGGTTAGGTAGCTGAAAAAGTTAGGTTAGGTTAGGTTAGGTAGGTTAGGTAGTCGAAAAACAATTAATTCATGAAAACTTGACTTATTAGGCAAATCGGGCCATGCATAGTAGGCTGAGAAGTGCGTTCTGGCTACTAGGTACGACATATATATATATATATATGCCAGTGTCAGACCACGGAGGAAAATTGAAACAGGAATTTCCTTAAGTACTTTCGTATATTAATACATCTTCAGAAGGAGTGAAGATGTATTCATTCCTTCTGAAGATGTATTAATATACGAAAGTACTTAAGGAAATTCCTGTTTCGATTTTCCTCCGTGGTCTGACACTGTCACACTTTTAATCACGTGTTTATTTTCGTGATACACACACACTCACACACACACACACACACACACACACACACACACACACACACACACATGTACTGGGGTGGGGGTAACCGGCGGTACCCGGGTCTCCCTCTCATTCTTCCAGCTCAGAGGGGGTTCTGACTTATTAATAAACTTTGACCTTTCCATTTCGTACCTTATTTTAAGCCTTAAAATACTAGTTTTTCTTCCCCCTGGAACACGACCCGCTAATCAATTTACAACCAGGTCCCCCAATTACTGCTGAGTGGACAGAGACGAAGAGTTAAGGGTGCGGAGAACCACTCACAATAGCGTGATTGAACCATAACTCAACCCGAATATGAACCAATATGAAAATGACGAGCTCCTCAAGCAAGAGGTCTACCACCCGCTCTCCTGACAACGCTATTCGAACACTGAACACTGGTTCGATTCCTCGAATCATCGAACACTTCATGTAGGGCAGACGTAACTCTGTGTATCTATGTATTTACGTATGTAGGTTAGCTTAGCATTTTTAAAAACACAATCACCTTCTGTAGTTTATTGTTTAATAAATCCCTGAACTGTATGTTTAATAGATCTCTAACCCTGTCCATGGAGGACAGATGAAAATGTATATATGCTGGTTAGCATTGTAAATGTGTGGCCACGTCTGTGGTAGAAAATAATAATAATAATAATAATAAAAATGCTCTTCGACTCCTTTTAGAGACACGAAAATATTTCGTTGCTCCTCATTAACTTTACATGGCCGGCAGACATGGTCCGCAGACATGGTCCGCAGACATGGTCCGCACACATGGTCCGCAGACATGGTCCGCAGACATGGTCCGCAGACATGGTCCGCAGACATGGTCCGCACACATGGTCCGCAGACATGGTCAGGGTATATGAACGAGTGTACCTCTTCTGTCAGATCATATGAGAAACAAGACAGGTCCTATAACCCTTTTAGCCCCTCGCTCGTGACCATAACCCTGGAAACACAAACCGAAAATGTCTCTATTTTCCGCTTGTTACAACGTATAATAAAGATGTTACATCTTTACTTAACGTGTTTATGACGTATTAGAACGTTGTTACAACTTGTTATATTGGTTGTTATAACTGGTTAGGTGTTAA